TTAGTTCCCTGCCTGGGGCAAAGCTAGGGTATGGGGCAGCAATGTTGTGTTTTCCAAAATGCCATGGAGCCGACCATGGGGCTACACTTAGAATCCCAACACTTCACAGGAGGAACAGGAGTTCAAGAGTTACACAGAAGCTCTGAGGTCAGCCTCTGCTGCAGGGGACCCTGTCTCAAACAAACAAACCCAAAGCACCGGATGTGATCCTTCTGGAACCATTCCACATCAGGACACTTCAGTGTTGTCAGAGCCTGTGACTGCATCGGCCAGAGGAGAACGATAGATGTGATACCATGTGACATCCAAGGCTAGGTCATAAGAAAAGTCCAGCTTCCTTGGAAGGCTCCTGTAAAAACCAGGTCACCATGTGGTGAGAAAACCAGGCTACCCAGACTTCACTTGTGTACGTTCTGACTGGCAATCTCTTTGAGATCCTGGCCAACAGCTGGCCTGACTATGCTCAGGTGGTTCCAAATGCTACTTTTGAGTTTTCCAGGAAGAGAGTGATAAGGGGGCGGGGTAGGCTGCCCCAGTAAGTCATAGCCAAGTTTCAGATTCATGAGCAAAATCGGTTAGGTACTGTATTGCCTCTGTGCTCTAGGGTTCCTTGTTACACAGCCAGTATGTTTATATATGATTTATTTTTTATTTTATATGCACTGGTGTCTTGCCTGCATGTTTGTCTGTGTGTGTGATGGTGTCATATCTTGGAGTTGCAGACAGTTGTGAGCTGCCACATGGGTGTTGGGAATTGAACTGGGGTCTTCTGGAAGAGCAGTCAGTGCTCTTGACCGCTGAGTCATCTCTCCAGCCCACAGTCAGTATCTGTTAACAGCAATTTTTTGTTTACTGGTGCTTTCCATTTGAAAGATGGATGAAAGACAGGAACAGGCTCTTGTCAAAGATGTCCATGCTCGTTACTGACAGGTGGTGTGGTTTTTGAGCCAGCGTCTGTTTTATCTTTGCATATCCATGAAGGACCTTCTCGAAACACACAGTAGGAGAACAGCATCATATGCCCACCTTTAACCCCAACCCAACAAGTAACCAGGTTATAAGTGGCCTTCTCTGTGTTCAGCCACCTTCCTCTACACTTAATGTTCTGAAGCAAATTTCTAAACACACCTCATCATTTCATTTTCGAATATTTCAACATGTACTTCTAAGATAAAGACCAGCTTTGTCAAACCAGTATCTATGCCTTCAGTTGTTGACGCAGCGGGCTATGGTAGCTTACTTAGTCAACCAACTGGTTTTGAGAGGAGCCAAACCTTAGAGGATTGGTTAGTTGATTTGTGGGTATCAACGTTTGCTCTAGAATTTTTCAGGAAACTGATATCATGTGTCTGGCCTTCTGAACTGCACTGCTTGGTGTTGATTAAAACTTTCTGGCTGGGCAGGGGTGGTTTAATCCCAGCACTTGGGAGGCAGAGGCAGATGGATCTCTGTGAGTTCGAGGCCAGCCTGGTCTACAGAGTGAGCTCCAGGACAGCCAGGGCTGTTACACAGAGAAACCCTGCCTCGAAAAACAAAACAAAACAAACAAACAAACAAAAAACAAAGACAAAAGAAAAACCACAACAAGCAACAGAATGTTCTTAAGCTGTAGGTGTGAAGAAAAGGTTCTTTTCTGAATATCATGACCTAAATTCTACATGAGCTGCCCTTATCTGGGTGGGTCTTGTTGGATCCTAGGGAATCTCCAGTCTGTGCTCCCCAAGCTGTTCATCATTGTAATCCCACACTGAAAAGTCAAGCTGTCCTGTCGATTTCTGCCAAACAGAAATCCTATCTATGCTATCTGAACTAGTTTTCCTATTCTTGCCCTTTTTGCTGAAAGGTGTTGTTTTTTGTTTTGATTTTTTTGACAGTTTCCCTGTGTAGCTCTGGCTGTCCTGGAACTCACTCTGTTCAATCCAGGCTAGCCTCGAACTGGGAGGTCTGGCTGCCTCTGCCTGCCAACGTGCTAGGGACTAAAGGCGTGCACCACCACAGGCCAGCTGAAAGGAGTTGCTGGTACATTTATTTAGTTCAGGATTCCCCAGTAGACTAACGGAGCAAAACTGCAAATCCACGTGAAGCACCTGTCGCGCTGTGGGTAAGTGCTAAGCAATTACTTGACTGTGTTACTTCACTGCCTCATGTCAAATCTCCTCTGGGAGACTCTTAAGCCCTCTCCCCTCTGTGCTCACCTTAGAGTTCACTGTCAGAAAGCAGTCTGGCAGCACTCGGGAGGCAGAGACAGGCGGATCTCTGTGAGTTCGAGACCAGCCTGGTCTACAGAGCTAGTTCCAGGACAGGCTCCAAAGCCACAGAGAAACCCTGTCTCGAAAAACCAAAACCAAAAAGAAGAAGAAGAAGAAGAAGAAGAAGAAGAAGAAGAAGAAGAAGAAGAAGAAGAAGAAGAAGAAGAAGAAGAAGAAGAAGAAGAAGAAGAAGAAGAAGAAGAAGAAAGCAGTCTGGCAGTCGTGCTGGCTTTGTTAAGGTTTACTGTAAATAAGTCTCTAACTGTTAGAGGTTCACAAGGATTCAGTACTCTTCTTCCAGCTAGCCTTTCTTTCCCCAAGAATCTTTGTGGGGCAGGGGAGGGAGGCAAACAAGAGGAACTCGCTGCTATGTCTGAGCCCCTTGACTGGGCGAGCCTTTCTCTCTTGGTTGGATGCAGACACATCCAGTTATGGTTGTGGAATCTTCAGCCACAAAGCAGACAGCAAAGTATGACTTGCTGCCCCTTCTGTTCCTGGGGACGGAAACCAGGACACTCAGCATGGCTTTGCAAGAGCTCTGCTACTGAATTTCATGCAGCCCCAGTCCTGCCAGGCCACCTTTTTCTCTTGCGACGCCTACCTCCCTATTTGAGCCACGATCTTGGTGTGTAGCTCTGGCTGGATTAAAACTAAAACTATGTAGCCCAGGCTAGCTTCCAACCCAGCCGGTTTCCCTCTCAGCTTCCCCAGTGCAGGGATTACAGGCATAAGATAACACTCCCAGCCTTTTTCTTTCAGAGTTTCTGGAAGCTCAGCTATGCATTTTCAGTCTCATCAGGGCAGCACATGATAGGAATTTTCACAAGCGGGGCAAGGTGGATGAACTGCAAGAGCGGACTCTTAGCTCATATTTGAATCCAATTTGGGAACTGAGCTTGGGTGGCAGATTAATCAGACATTCTCTCCTTTATCTATTCTTCCCGAAGTGCCCGTCACGTAGACTCTGGAGAGCCGAATGAACCACAGTCATCTTTTTTGTAGCTCAAGTTCTAGAGGGAAGGAGACCAGCAACAAACTGAAGGCAACACCCCGCAGCTCCCAACTGTTTATCTCTTCTTCTGGTGCGTCGTTAGGGACGCACTCCGCGTTGTCGAGGTCCCTGGGGGTGGGTGGGGCGGTGGCTCTGAGGAGAGTCTCGCGAGGATTTGGGAACCAGCGCGGGATCTCGTCCGGGTTGCCAGGAGACAGCGCAGCCTCCGCAGACCATCGCCTATCCCGGAGTAGTGGCGGTGCGGAACTGCTGGCAGGATGGTGAGTCCGGCTGGTGCTCTGGGTCTCCAGTGCACAGAGAACAGGGGGATTTTCGCTCCGAAATGCGGATATAGTTGGGTTCCGGGGACTGGGAGGCCCGGGAGTAGCCGCCTGCATTTTTGGATGACTAGAATGGAGAACTGAGCGCTTCCGTGAGGTCCCACTTGGGGAGGCCAGGATGCCGGGGCCTGCATGCACTTGAACTGAGGTTTGGCCCTTCGGTTCTCGGGGCTGGTCGTCGAACTGGCCAGACTGAGAGCCTGGTGTGCAAGGTGTCCAGAAGTCGGAAGCTGAGTCTGCCAAATCCTGGGGATCTAGGATTCCATCTCATATGGGCTCTGGGGCACTTAAGGTACACAGGAATCAGAGTCCGGTTCCGGAGAAACCCTAGGAACTGTCTCTGAGGTGGAGAACCTGATGCATCATCCCACGGTGGCTAAGGTCCCTCTCTACTAGGGATGTTAGAGAGGGCCGAGTGTCATAGTGTGATCAGCGTATCACCTTGGGTTGCGGAGACCTCAGGCTCCTTAGACCTTCCTCGTATAATGAGGCCCTTCCCCTTCGGACACAGGTGTTGGCATTAGTGCGTCGCTTGCAGGTGTGCCAGGAGGTGGGTCATCAGCTGACGGGGTGACTTCTCCCTTGGGGGAGCTCCTGCCTGGAAACATCGTGAATTTTCCCTGAAAGCGTTTATGACCTTACCGCGCCGCTAAAATAAAGCAGGACCCATGTGAGCAGTTTTCTGCCGGAAACACATTTACAGACATGCACGAGTGCACGTGCTGTTTGCTCACTCCTGACTAGAGCTCTCTGTAGTTTATGATTTGGAAGAAACGAGCCTCAGGTTTGGTCATTGCTCTGAGGTCACTCTTTCCTACATTTGCACTGATAAGAACTCCATCTTAGCTAGAAGGCTAATTCTCTGTTACTTGGTAAGTTTCTTGCGTGCGTTCCTGTGGTGGTTGTGAGGCATGATGGCGCTGTGTGTTCCTCCATTTTTAGCTCAGATAAGTTTTTTTTTTTATTTTAGGTTTCCATACTACCCCTCAAAAGCACCTTAATTTCTTTCCCCATATTCCTTCCCTCAACCCCCTCTTACTTTATTTATTTATTTTTGCCACACCAAAGAAATCCTTGCCCTTTTCCCAGGAGTGAATGGTTTTGGAGTGACTCCTTTCTTTCCCTTTTGGAAAGAGAAGGTGTTCTTTTCTGAAGAGAATTTCTCTGTGTTTCTCCAAATGTGTTAATGATCTCCCCTCCCCATGTACACGTGGTTCACGGGGCGTGACTGTGGGGAGGGTCAGCACAGTGACGCCCTCTGGGTGTGAGCTCCAATGAGTGGTGTGTGAACTAGCAGAGGCCTTGGTTCTCCACAGGTGCGCCTTCCCATAATGCCCGTGGAAGCAAACCGTCAGTTAAGGGGGATGGCATCCGAGAGATTAGGCTTTCCTTACTCAGCCATGTCTTCCTCAAACACAGGCACCCAAAAAGAAAGGGAAGAAAGGCAAAGCCAAGGGCAACCAGATTGTGGATGGGCTCGCACCAGAGGACATGACCAAGGAGCAGGTGAGCACAGCCCTTCTGAATGTCTGGCCCCAGGGTGGGCTCTGCTGCAGATGTGTTGGGAACTCACCCGCTCTTCTGCTTGCCCGTCTCCTCTCTGTCTGAGTGTAACATGATTATCCTAAGTCTGCAGTTTCCACCCCCACTCCCACATTGCATGTTTTTAAAAAATGCAATACGTCCATGTGAAGAAACTTTTTAATAGGAACTTGGAAGGAGTCCCCCCAGCCCTGAACGTAATAATTATTTTTAACTTTGTGTATTTTTCTTTTATTCTTACCTTTTTAACGTACCCATTGTTCATAGAGCTGATACATATGTGATAATACATATATGTCATTCTTTGTTTGCCAGTGAACATTATAACAAAAGGCAAGTTTTTAGCCTACTGTGATGGCTCGTGCCTTGGGAGGCAGAGGCAGGTGGATCTCTGTGAGTTTAAGGCCAGTCTAATCTACATAGGCAGTTCCAGGACAGCCAGACTACAGAGAGAGTATTTGTTTCAAAAATCCAAAATAAAAGAAGAAGAAGAGAAAAAGAAGAATAAAAGTTTTAAAAGGAACATGATTGGCGGGGGGTGGGGGGAGAGCATGAGGGAACGGGATGGCCGAGATGGGGGAAGAACAGAGAGGAAGAGCAAGGAAAGAAATATCTTGATTGAAGAAGCCATTACAGAGCTAGCAAGAAACCTGGCACTAGGAAAATTCCCAGGAATCCACAAGGATGACCCCAGCTAAGACCCTAAGCATTAGTGGAGAGCGTGCCTGTACTGGCCTTGCCCTGTAGTCATACTGATGACTACCTTAAATGTTATCGTAGAACCTATATCCAGCAACTGATGGAAGCAGACACAGAGATCCACAGTTAAGCTCTGGGCCGAGCTCCCAGAGTCCAGTCTAAGAGAGGGAGGAGCAATAATATGAGCAAAGGGGTCAAGACCATGATGGGGACACCCACAGAAACAGCTGACCTGAGCTAGTGGGAGCTCACTGACTCCAGACTGACAGCAGGGGGACCTGAATAAGACCACAGTAGGCCCTCTGAATGTGGGGGACAGGTGTGTGACTGGGGCCACTGGCAGTGGGGCCAGGACTTACCCTAGTGCTTGAACTGGCTTTTTGGAGCCCATTCTCTTTGAAGGGATATCTTGTTCAGCCTAGATATAGGGTGGGGGGCCTTGGTTCTGCCTCAGAGTGATGTGCCAGACTTTGTTGACTGCCCATGGGAAGCCCTACCACACTCTGAGGAGTGGATGGGGTGTGGGTAGGCGGAGGTGGAGGAGATGGAGGAGGGGAGGAAGTAGGAGAACTGGGATTAGTATGTAAAATGAGAAAAGATTGCTTTAAAAAAAAAAGAAACATGATTTACCTAAAATTACACTGTCTCCATCTGATTAATCATCCACTCTTTTTAAAATTATTGTTATTTCTTTTCTGTGAGTTTTCTTTCCCTCCACAGTGTAGGGTCTGGGACTGAACTCAGGTTTTCAGGCTTGGCACCAGGTACCTTTACCTGCTGAATAATTTTGCTGTTTTATTTTTGACAATACTTCCAACAAGGAGTAGCTCTATTGGAGCTGTCTCTTTCTTATTGCCTGTGCTTAGTTTGGGCGGAGGTTTTCTTCCTTTATTTAACTTTTGTTAAGGCGCGTGCTCTACCACTGAGCTATATTCCTGATTCTGGGATGATATCTTCTTTATCATATCTTTTGGTAGTGTTGAAGATTGAACTTGGGGAGGTTATGTCCTTCTACAAATTATTTTAGGCCATATATATATATATATTGATGTAAAAGGCTAGAGAACATAATTTGAAAACCTAACAAGGCTCTTGACAGCTACAACATGTGGCAAACGGTGTATCCACCTGAGTCTGTGTTGATGATGGCCGTGTTGTGAGGTTTTGACACAGACTGGAGGATTATATGAAGCTGTGTTAATAAGACTTACTATTTTATTTTTCTAAGGTTTATTTATTTATGATGTATTCAGTGTTCTGCCTGCATTACCTGCATGCCAGAAGAGGGAACCAGATCTTATTATAGACGGTTATGAGCCACCATGTGGTTGCTGGGAATTGAACTCAGGACCTCTGGAAGAGCAGCCAGTGCTCTTAACCTCTGAGCCATCTCTCAACCCAAGACTTACTATTTTAATAGTTTAAGATAATATGAAAGAGATTCAGAGAGTGATATAAGCTAAAATTGGAGTTGGACCTGGCTCGAGTATTGGTGATTTTAGAGGTAAAAGACTAAAAAATAAGAGCCAAATTTCCATACTTTAGCAACCATGCATGGCCACTTGGTGCCTGCTCCTAGTGATGTGTGTGATATCATATGCAGACAGCTGGAGCCTAACTCCTAAGGACTTGGGGTATCGTACACTGCTGGCCAGTCTCAAGAAAAACAATCTGTGCTATAAATGTACTACATACAAGACAGTGCGATGTCCCCCAACCCCGTGAACCCAGATATGGACCCCACACAAATGACTGGTGAGATAAAAATCAAATAACTTCCCCTCAACTACCATAAAAACTTCCACCCTCTTTCCGCCACGAGAGAACTTTCCTCTAGGAACTTCCTGCTGCTGTTTGCAGCGGTTTCAGTAAATCTTCTCTAATCTTCTCTGTCTCTGTGTTCTAGATAATTTCTTTTCTTTCCTCTCTCTCTCTCTCTCTCTCTCTCCCNCCCCCCCCCCCCCCCCCCCCCCCCCCCCCCCCCCCCCCCCCCAGACAGGGTTTCTCTGTAGCTTTGGAGCCTGTCCTGGAACTAGCTCTTGTAGTCCAGGCTGGCCTTGAACTCATAGAGATTCGCCTGCATCTTCCTCCTGAGGGCTGGGATTAAAGGCCAGCGCCACCACTGCTGTATAATTTATTTTTATTTTATTTGCATTGGTGTTTTGCTTGCAGGTATGTAGGGTGTCAGATCTTGGAAGTACAGACAGCTGTTAGCTGCCACGTGAGTGCTGGGAATTGAACCGTGGTCCTCTGGAAGAATAGTCAGTGTTTATTCAAGAACCCCTGAACTCTGGTGTTCTTAGCTTTTTGATTTTTCGAGAGAAGTTAAAAATTTGGATATTTATAAGAAATCCAAATAGCAATTGGTGACAAACTCTGACACTAAGCCAACAGAACAGGACTCTGTGACTGTTGTGTGACGTGAGTGTGTGTGTGTGAGACAGCACTGAGGCTGGCGGATTCTGTGGGGCCGTGTGCGCCCATAGGCACCTAGCCCCTGCCCAGCATCCTTCCTCAGAGCCCCTTGGCTGCTTTTTGTCTTGTTTATTGAAATGGAAGATATGGCTTCCCTGTGTGAAATGTATCTTGAAAGAGAAAATACTGCACCGTAGCTGTCCTGGGGCTGTGCCTAAACATAACTCATTCTCGCGGGAAGCGAGGGCCCGAGAACGCCGGAAGCCTGCCCTACTTTCCTCCTTAACCTATTTGCAGATTTATAATTGGCTCTGGACAGAGTCTGTTGTGTAATTTTTTAATAGTGTTTCCAGTGGTCTTTTTATTTTTATTTTAATCTTTTATGTTAAAATTATGTGCTTCTGTGTAATTTTTATCTCTTACAGTTGATGTGCTCCAATTTTTTTTCTTTTTTTCTTTTCTTTTTTGGTTTTTTGAGACAGGGTTTCTCTGTGCAGCCAGCCCTAGCTGTCCTGGAACTAGCTCTTATAGACCTGGAACTAGCTCTTATAGACCATGTTGGCCTCAAACACAGAGATTTGCTTGTCTCTGCCTCCCAAGTGCTGGGATTAAAGGCGTGCACCACTGCTGCCCGGTGTATTCCAATTTTCAACCATTTTCCTGTTTAAAATTGTATATTATTTACTTTTAAAGTATGTTTGTTTTGAGGTTTGTTTGAGGTTTGTTTGTTTTTTTTTAATATTTATTTATTTATTTATTATGTATATAATATTCTGTCTGTGTGTATGCCTGCAGGCCAGAAGAGGGCACCAGAAGTGTTTTTGGGGGCTGGAGAGATGGCTCAGAGGTTAAGAGCACTGATTGTTCTTCCAGAGGTCCTGAGTACAATTCCCAGCAACCACATGGTGGCTCACAACCATCTGTAATGAGGTCTGGTACCCTCTTCATGTCCAGCAAGCATGACAGAACACTGTATACATAATAAATAAATAAATAAATAAATAAATTTTTTAAAAAAAGTGTTTTATAGTTAATAACAATGGGAGTACTAATATTGCTGAACAAAAATAATGCCTGTGTTTCTTTTTTGTTTGTTTGTTGATGTTTTAAAATAGGGTTTCTCTATGAAACAGTCCTTGCTATCCTGGAACTCACTCTGTAGACCAGGCTGGCCTCTGTCTTTCAAGTGCTGGGATTAAAGGCATGCGTCACCACCGCCTGCCTTGAGAAATTTCTTAAAAGAATCCAGAAGTTGCTGAACAGATTTAATTGTTTTGTAATTCTTTGCCAAATTTAAGAAACTTTTGCTGTTTACTGTCTCTGGAGCATTCCTGCTTTGTATTTAACTTTAGTAAGGTGACCCCCCCCCCCTTTTTCTTCCCTGCTTCCCTTGGTCCGCACACTCTGGTGGTGGCTGGGCTTCTGCAGGGTGCCTCACTTGATGCCCTGTGCCTGGCCAGGTGGAGGAACATGTTGCCCGCATCCGGGAGGAGCTGGATCGGGAGCGAGAGGAGCGCAACTACTTTCAGCTAGAGCGTGACAAAATCCACACTTTCTGGGAGATCACAAGAAGGCAGCTGGAGGAAAAGAAGGCTGAGCTTCGAAACAAAGACCGTGAGATGGAGGAGGCAGAGGAGAGGCACCAGGTGGAGATCAAGGTGAGTGGAGTTGGTCTGTCTGTGCCTGCTGGCGTCAAGGGGCAGCGGCACAGAAATGGGTCCGGGGGACACTTCCTACTTTTCTTTGGGAATAAACTCCTTTGCTTTTGTTCTTTGTACTGTGAACCAGAGGCAGTTTTTTTTTTTTTTTTTTTCGAGACAGGGTTTCTCTGTATAACAGCTCTTGGCCATCCTGGAACTCACTCTGTAGACCAGGCTGACCTTGAACTCATAGAGATCTACCTGCCTCTGCCTCCCAAGGCCTGGATAGGTGTGCCACCACTGCCTGGCTGAGGCAGTTTTTCTAAGAGTCAGAGGAAAGTTGCAAAGGTGATTTGGCTGTGTCATTTGTCACCTCTTTGATCACCTGCATCGATTCTGTTGATTAACCTGGACTAGGTAAATGACTAGCCACCTCTTCCTGCACTGCTGCCGCTGTGTGCTCTGTGGAAGAGGACCGCTTCCTCCGATGAAATAGAATAGGACTGCGGTAAGGTCCAAGTGTGGGTGTGCCACGAGCAGCTCTGAATTCAGCCAAATATGGAAAGTACTGAAAACCTAGAGCTGGGTGTGGTGGTACACGCCTGTAATCCCAGCACTTGGGAGGCAGATGCAAGAGGGCCAGGAGCACCCATGTTAGTTATGTGAGTCGTGTGAGACCAGCCTGGGCTACTGGAAACCCTGTCTCAAAACAAACAAAACATGAGGTGTTGATTTTTATTCATTTGTTTTTCATAACTGAATGACCTGTCACAGTGTCCACTGTGCTCCTGTTAGAGCCTCCCAACAGTCTCTGAGGAGGAAAAGGGGAAGCAGGTCCTGAGTCTCTGACTCGAAGCCTCTGAATGGTGGGAGTATGAGCAGGCTGCCCTCTACAGTTCTGCTGCCACTTAGCTGCTTGGGAGCTGGGCACGCACTGGTGCTGCAGATGAGCATGCGGTGCCCACCCCCACACCCCTTGCAGGTGTACAAGCAGAAAGTAAAGCACCTGTTGTACGAGCACCAGAACAACCTGGCAGAGGTGAAGACCGAGGGCACTGTCGTCATGAAGCTGGCCCAGAAGGAGCACCGCACACAGGAGGGCGCACTGCGCAAGGACATGCGGGCGCTGAAAGTGGAGCTCAAGGAGCAGGAGCTGGCTAATGAGGTGGTGATAAAGAACCTGCGCCTGGTAGGTACAGGCTGTGCTTCGGCGGCTGTGGACACGGGGAACCTAGCCATCTTTGACATCTGGTAACTTGTGTTTTTGTGTAAAAATGATCAGAGGTTTTTAACAAATAAGACATTAGCAAAACATTCAAATTTGTAATATGTAGGGGTGGGAGAAATGGTTTAACAGTTAAGAGCACTGGCTCTTCTTCTCGAAGATGTGGGTTCAATTCCCAGCACCCACATGGCAGCTCACAGCTATCCGTAACTCTAGTTCCAGGGGATCCAACAGTTTCTTCTGGCTTTTGTGAACACCAGACACACATGTAGTATACTGACATACATGTAGGCCAAATACCCATACACAGAAAATAAAAATCTGAGCTGGCTCAGTGGTTAAGAGTACTGGTGGCTCTTACAGAAGGCTTGAGTTCAGTTCCTATCACCTGTATAGTATTCACAACTGTGTGTGACTCCAGGACACTATGCCCTTTTCTGTCCTCCATATGCACCAGACTTGCAGATGCTGCAGACATAAAACTTGCACACATAAAATGAAATAACAATTAAATGATAAATCTTACAAAAATTGTAGCATGTAATTGTTTATTAAAATAATCTCTGAGTTGGACTTGGTGGTACACAGGAGGCAGAGGCAGGTGGAGTGTTCAAGGCTAGCCTTGTCTACAGAGTAAGTTCCAGGATGGCTAGGCTACACAGAGAAACCCTGTCTCAAAAAACCAAAATAATCACCATCTCTTATACTGCTCTAAGCAATAGTGAGGCAGGCTATCAGGAGCCCGCTGTCCCGTGTGATATGGCTGCTGTTTCTGGCTTTTCATAGGTTGGATGAGGAAACCAAGCCATGTACGGTACTCATGTCTGTACTGTCTGTCAGATTCAGAGGTGACTCCCCTGGGGAAGTGAGTTATGTATGAAATGTGGAGGTTCTCAAAGCCATGTTATTGGGCATACTCTAATGTGGAGGTAAGGAGAATCCAGAAAGCAGCAATAGCACAGGGGTTACTAAACTGCATTTCCCCACAAGTAGTAGAGCCGTGAGTTTCTCTGTCTGGCTTTCTAGTAACACCCCCTTCTCATTTGTGCAGAAACATGCTGAGGAGATCACCAAGATGCGAAATGACTTTGAAAGGCAAGTTCGAGGTCAGTTTCGCAGTTGTACAGGGTGTAGGATGGTGCCAAGGAACCCCTCCCATCACTGCTTGGTAACTTGAGACACATAAACCTTATTAAAGGAGCTCAGTAACACACACACACACACACATGCACACACACACACACACACACACACACACAGGGAGGGTGGGGGGAGACAGTGAGGAGAAGAGAGACAGAGTTTTTTGTTTTTGTTTTTTTTTTTACTTTAGTTTTTTTGTTTGTTTTGTTTTTTGTTTGTTTGTTTTTAGACTTCTCTGTGTAGCCCTGGCTGTCCTGGAACTCACTTTGTAGACCAGGCTGGCCTCGAACTCACAGAGAAGCTGCTGCCTCTGTCTTCTGAGTGCTGGGATTAAAGGTATGCACCACCATGCTGGGGTCACTAGAGAATATTCAGAGCCACAGAAAAGCTCAGCCCCATGTGAACTCGGGGAGCTGTGGTCAGCGCCCACATCTCCATTCTGTCTCAAGCGAGCCGTCATCAGCACGCAGCACTTTATTCAGGCGTCTCCTTAGCTCCTGCCTTGAAAAGCCTTCCGTGTCTGAAGTCCATCCGCTTGTTGACTGAGCCCTACAGTGTGTGACTGGACAGGCACATGGGCCATGGTTAGTGTGCACTGGGAGTAGTGAGGGACAGCCACTGCAGTCATCAGTTATCACAGACCGGAAAGCTGGTCGTGGCCTCTGTGCTGACTAGGTCACTTGCGGGAAATATCCACTAAAGCCTGTCTGGCTCCAGCAGGTGGCCTGCACAGCCTCCATTCTGACCCTGACTGGTATTCTCGAGCATTGTTTATCGGTTCCATCTTTTCCCGTGGCTTTGGGTCACCTGTTTTTCTTTTTTTTTTTTTTTTAATTTTTTATTTTTTTGTAATATAATTTTTTTATTGAAAAAAAAATTACCACCTCCTCCCCGCCTCCCATTTCCCTTCCCGTCTCCCTTTTCCCTCCCCCTCCTCCCACTCTTCTCCCCCTCCCCCCACCCCTCTCCTCCTCCCTCTCCAGTCTGAAGAGCAGTCAGGGTTCCCTGCCCTGTGGAAAGTCCAAAGTCCTCCCCCCTCCATCTTGGTCTAGGAAGGTGAACATCCAAACTGGCTAGGCTCCCACAAAGCCAGAACATGAAGTAGGATCAAAACCCAGTGCCATTGTCCTTGGCTTCTCAGCAGACCTCATTGTCCGCCATATTCAGAGAGTCCGGTTTTATCCCATGCTTTTTCAGTCACAGTCCAGCTGGCCTTGGTGAGCTCCCAATAGATCAGCCCCACTGTCTCCGTGGGTGGGTGCACCCCTTGTGGTCCTGACTTCTTTGCTCATATTCTCCCTCCTTCTGCTCCTCATTGGGACATTGGGAGCTCAGTCCGGTGCTCCAGTGTGGGTCTCTGTCTCTATCTCCATCCATCACCAGATGAAGGTTCTATGGTGATATGCAAGATATTCATCAGTATGGCTATAGGATAGGGTCATTTCAGGTTCCCTGTCCTCAGCTGCCCCAGGAACTAACTGGGGACATCGCCCTGGGCACCTGGGAGCCCCTCTAGGTCCAAGGCAATTTATAGATTCAATGCAATCCCCATCAAGGTCCCATCAAAATTCGTCACCTGGCCGGGCAGTGGTGGCGCACGCCTTTAATCCCAGCACTAGGGAGGCAGAGGCAGGTGGATCTCTGTGAGTTCGAGGCCAGCCTGGTCTAGGTCTACAAGAGCTAGTTCCAGGACAGGAACCAAAAGCTGCGGAGAAACCCTGTCTCGAAAAATTAAAAAAAAAAAAAAAATTCATCACCTGTTTTTCTAAGCTGCTATGTGTGCTGCTGCCTTTCAGAAATTGAGGCCAAGTACGACAAGAAGATGAAGATGCTGAGAGATGAGCTGGACCTGCGGAGAAAGACTGAGATCCACGAGGTGGAGGAGAGGAAGAATGGGCAGATCAGCACGCTGATGCAGCGCCACGAGGAAGCCTTCACTGACATCAAGAACTACTACAATGACATCACTCTGAACAACCTGGCCCTAATCAATTCCCTCAAGGTATTGACGTGGTCTGGGAGACAGGCCCTGGGGATGCAGACCCGGTCTGCAGGCCCACCAGATCTAACACTCCCTTCTAAAATAAGATTGGAGAGTGTCCCTCTGTTACCCTCAGATAAAATTAAAGGTGTTCTGACATGTAAATGCCTAGGCAGGGCTACCGAAGGCGCTGCATATTGACTGACGTGTGGCCGCAGTTGGCGGTTGTCATTGTAAATGCTGACAGAATGGTGTCAGTTCATCCCATCAGTCACTGCTTGGTCATTTTGGACATGTCAATACTGGCAGGGTTTCCACAGTAGAGAATTGCCTTTGGTCTAAACAAACGCACCCTCTCAGTGTGCATGGACATTCTATTCTTACGTAATTCAGCAGAGCTTGCGACTGCAAAGCTGCCGCTTACCCATAAAAGAAGACCTGCTCCTCAGCGTGCTTGTGACAGGGCCTCACGGAGTAGTTCCAGCTGTCCTAGAACTCGCCATGTAACCAGGCTGGCCTCAGACTCTCGGAGATCCACCTGCCTCTGCCTCCTGAGGGCTGAGATGAAAGGTATCTGCCTCAGGATCAGTTTTTCCTTGAGGGAATCCATCACTGGATATGGTGGCACAAACCTGAAATCCCAGTGCTGACGAGGTAGAGGCAGGACAAAGCCAGCCTAGGCTGGTTAGGGAGACATTGTCTTAGAAAAACAAAAAGTGTCAGTGAGGTGGGTCGGGGGTGAAAGTGCTTCCCCTGCAAACCTGACGTCCCGAGCTATAGCCCTGGAACCATAGCGGAAGGAGAGAATTAGCCCCTGAAAGCTGTCCTCCTGCCTCCACGAGTGTACTGTGGCATGCACACTGTCCTCCTGCCTCCGCGAGTGTACTGTTGCATGCACACTGTCCTCCTGCCTCCGCGAGTGTACTGTGGCATGCACACCCATGCTCACACGCATGTCAAACACTCATAATAAAATGGAGGGCATTTGGCCAGTGCTCCCAGGCCAAGCCCCTGTATGTGCACTGTGCTAACAGGAGCAGATGGAGGACATGCGGAAGAAAGAAGAACACCTGGAGAGGGAGATGGCGGAGGTATCTATGCAGAACAGGCGGCTGGCAGACCCTCTGCAGAAAGCGAAGGATGAGATGAACGAGATGCAGAGGAGAATTGGGAGCTATGAAAGGGACAAGCACATCCTGATTGTGAGTTTCCTACTGAATTCTTTCCCCTCCTCTGAATCCTTTCCCTCCCTGCGGGCCCAAGAGGGAAAGCGTGGGAGGGAATGTCTTCTTGAGGTCCTTGTGAGCAGGACTCATCCTTAGTGCAAAAAAGGGAGACATGGTGATGCTGGACTTTCTCTTTCTTGAGCTCCTCTGGAGCTATAAGTAGGCAGGCACTGTTGTAGACGGACCCTCGTTTTCCACACATTCCACTCATAGCTTGAGTGGGGCCCAGCTGCTGGAGTCTTCCAGCCAGTTGTGCCTGATGGTTTTTTTTCTGATCTTGCTGTCTCCAGGAGTCTGTGGTATGTGAGTGTCTGTGAATCCTAAGTATTTTATGTCCCCTACTCCCTGATTTCCCTGCAGTGCACAAAGGCACGTTTAAAGGTTGTTGAGAAAGAGCTGAAAGACCTGCAGTGGGAGCATGAGGTGCTGGAGCAGAGGTTCATCAAGGTGAGCAGGCGGGTTGCGTGGCCGGGCTCTGGACTGGGGTGAGCGAGATGCACCCTCCTCCCCGCTCCTAATCTGCACTTCTGTTGTTTGTTTGTTTGGAAATAGGGTCTCACTGTTTCATTCAGCCTGGTCGTAAACTCCTGGGATCTGGCATCTCCTAATTTAGCCTCCTGAATAGCTGGAATTATAGGTGTGTTTGCACACGACTTTTTGTTTGTTTGTTTTTGTTGTCTGAGCCGAGTTTTTCTGTGTAGCCTGACTGTTCTGGAACTTGATCTGTAGATCAGGCTGGGCTCAAACTCAGAGATCCACTTACCTCTGCCTCCCAAGTGCTGGGATTAAAGGCGTGCGCCACCACCGCCTGGCTCTCCATGGTTTCTTTACAGTGAATAGGCAATAATAGTAGTACTAAAAATGTACAACACAGATGGAATCACAGGGACCACGCCTCCTCCACAAACTGATAGGCCACCAGGAATCCTGGTTCTCTGAGATTTGGGGCCTTCTACAAAATATACCAATAAAAAAAAGAAACCATGGGGTAAGCCAAGTGTGGAACACAACTATAAACTAAGTCCATAGTTCAATGTCACCCTGGACTACATGAGGATACTCTGTCTCAAAATTAATTAATTAATAGTTGCATCTTATCACTTGATAAGAAACAAAAACAAACACTCTTTAACCTGAATTCCCAGGCCACTCATCTAAACATTTGGGTGACTCTTTCCTGCTCTCTAGATATGTGACAGCCTCTTGCTGTTAGGAATGAAATACCACCTTGTTGTACTGCAGCTTTTCTTCTTTTCGGGGAGAGGGGTGGTTTCTCAAGGCAAAGCTTCTCTGGCCATCCTGAAACTTTCCCTATAGACCAGGCTGGTCTCAGACTCACAGAGATCCACCTGCCTCTGCCTCCCAAATTCTGGGATTAAAGGTGTGCGCCACCATCACCTGGCAAGCATTTTCTTAATGATTGTTTGGGGAGGGCCCAGCCCATTGTATGTGATGCTGTTTCTGTGCTGAAGATCCTGGGTTCTATATGAAAGCAGGCTGAGCAAGCCAGTAAGCAGCCCTCCTCCACAGCCTCTGCATCAGTTCCTGCCTCCAGATCCTGCCCTGCTTTAGCTCCTGTCCTGACTTCCTTCCATGATGGATTACAGTGGAGAAGTATGAGCCAAATAAACCCTTTCCTCCCCAAGTTGCTTGGTGATGGTGTTTCATCACAGCAATAGTAACCCTAACTGAGATAGTGGTAATGCTGACTCCCCGCTCTTACCTTCTGCTATGTGCTGAGCTACAGATTTTTCATTCTGTGCACATAGGGTATAGTGCAGACAGTGTGGATACCAAATGCCCATGTGCCATGGGTGTGGCAATAGTAAAAGTGACCCTTCTACAGAAGCAGCACACTTAGGGCAGGGTGGGAAGTGGTTTCTACCTGAGGAAATATCTCATGGTAAAGGTCCTTGTTACTCACTCCAGTCTCATTGTCCCCAGGTGCAGCAGGAGAGAGATGAGCTCTATCGTAAGTTCACTGCAGCCATCCAGGAGGTGCAGCAAAAGACAGGCTTCAAGAACCTGCTGTTGGAGCGTAAACTGCAGGCACTGAATGCTGCTGTGGAGAAGAGGGAGGTGCAGTTCAACGAGGTGCTGGCAGCCTCCAACTTGGATCCTGCAGCACTAACACTTGTGTCCCGCAAACTTGAGGTAGGTGCTGATGGCTCTTGAAGCACGCATGGTGTTTGTTTTTTTGTGGTGAGCCCTTCAGTCTTGCTCTTTGCCCTATTGAGTAGCACAGAGACTCCTCAGTTCAGTCAGGGGCTGCCATGGTTTTTGCATCGAGAACAACGCGTGTGCTGCAGGTCTCTGGGCACTGGAACTGTCCTCTTGAGAACAGTGCATGTGCTGCAGGCCTCTGTGCACTGGAACTGTCCTCTTGCAGTTTTGTCCCCTACCCCCTACCTATCTTTTTTGGAGACAGGAACAAGTGCATAGAGATCACCTTTCTCTGCCTCACGAATGTTGGCATTCAGAGTATATATATCACACCCAGCTTTGTGGTCTCTCTTAAGCTGTCCCAGTCCCTCACTAACCCTAACCTGAATCTCTGGTGTTCCTGTTTTGCTGTGGCTCAGAGTGTGCCAAGCCTTAGTTTATAGTTGGACTTTCTTTGGACTGCCAGCTCCCAAATAATGATGTGGAGACTTCTTATTAATTATGAAAGCTTTGCCTTGTTACAAGAGGAGACCACTTGTTTCCCGGCTGCCCTGCAGCTCAGACCCAAAAATAATCACACAAAAACCATACTATTTAAATCACTGATTGGCTCATTAGCTCTAGCTTCTTTTTTTTTTTTTTTTTTTTGATTTTCGAGACAGGGTTTCTCCATAGCTTTTGGTTCCTGTCCTGGAACTAGCTCTTGTAGACCAGGCTGGCCTCGAACTCACAGAGATCCGCCTGCCTCTGCCTCCTGAGTGCTGGGATTAAAGGCGTGCGCCACCACCGCCCGGCTAGCTCTAGCTTCTTATTGGCTAACTCTTAGATATTAATTTAACCCATTTCTATTAATCTGTGTATTGCCACGTGGCTGTGGCTTACCGGGAAAAGTTCCAGTATCTGTGTCTGGCAGGGCTACATGGCTTCTCTCTCTCTCCTCCTCCTTCCTCCCAGCATTCAGTTTAGTTTTCCCCACCTACATCTATTCCCTGCACAGGCCCAAGACAATTTCTTTATTAACCAATGGTATTCACAGCATACAGAGGGAAATCTCACATCACCTTCCCTTTCCTATTTAAATGAAAAGGAAGGTTTTAACATTAACATAGTAAAATTACATATAACAAAACAGGTATCAAGCAAGAATTACAGTTACACTGGGTGGTGGTGGCACACGCCTTTAATCCCAGCATTCGGTAGGCAGAGGCAGGTGGATCTCTGTGAGTTCGAGACCAGCCTGGTCTACAAGAGCTAGTTCCAAGCCAGGCTCCAAAGCTACAGAGAAACCCTGTCTAAAAAAAAAAAAAAAAAAAAAAAAAAGAATTACAGTTACAATATTGGTATCTACTTTATCATAACTAAGGAAAATTATAACTATATAGGCTTGTTTCCAACTAGCTCTTATAACTTAAATTAACCCATTTATATTAATCTATGTTCTACCACGTATCTCATTACCTCTGCTCAGAACTGTGTGTCCCACTTCCTCTGTGTTTGGCTGGCGAATTCCACCTCTCAGATTCTCTCCCCCGCTATGCACCCCCCAATTCCTCTCTATCTCCCTGGAAGTCCCGCCCATTTTTCCTGCCATTCAACGCTTTATTAAACCAGTCAGAAGGTAACCTTGGTAGAGACAAAGATTGTCCTGCAACATTAGTCACTGAATGGAACATAGGGCACCTGAGGGGGAAAGCTGATTTGGAAATCTATGAGTTCAGGGTCCTCTGTTACTTGAGACAGGGAAAGGCTCTGCCACTGTGAGGACCCCAGGATGCTGACTTAGGACTGGGGCAATGACAATGAGGAGAGTCACGCACAGCGGCCGTGGACTGTAACCATTTCCTAGGACCTGGGGAGTAATGTCTGAACAGAGCTGAGAGCGTCACTTATTTGTGTGGCAGTGCTGTGCTGGGAAATCTAGTGGGGACAGTGACAAATGAAACAAGCGGCACTTCAGCTACCATGGGGACAGAAACTTCTATCACCTGAAAAGTCAGGAGGCTGAACCTCTGACAGAACCTCCAGTCTTACCTGTCGCCTGCTTGCTAAGCTGTAGCAGGCCAGGGCTCTCTGCCCCTACCTTGTTTGGAGGAGGGGAGCATAGGAGGAGCAGGCAGCACAGCTCGAGGGAGTGTGGCCGACATGAGCAGCAGCTGGCTGATGTGACTGATAGCTTCCAGACTGTGGTTGGCCCCCAGTAGTTATGGTTGTCTTTCCCAGGGTCCTTTGGAGACAGGTGTGGTGCTTTGTTCCCAGATTCACTGATGCTTCTAGGATGTGAACAACTGTATCTGAAGCCCCAACAGACCCAGTAAGGGGGCTTACAATTCACCCCAAAGCAGATCCTCTAGGGCAGGAGGGTGCATGGCTTCTCTCTTGCTTGTGCTGTGCTTGCAGCAGAAAGGCAGAGCTGCAGCTGCTTATGGAGAGGTTCTATTCTGAGAAGTACTGTGCCATCAGCACACAGGTTAGCTGAACTTGAGTGCCAGTTTCTCACTACAGACTTCAGGCTCAAAGGACTAACTTTATGTAAGCCAGTCTATGTAGCAATTTTGTTTGCTGCACTTTCCTGTCCCTGTGATCAGAGGCATGCAACATTAAGCATTGCAGGAAGCCCCTTGCTGAGCCACCCTAGGGAGTACCCAGCAGTTGGGGGGATGCAGACTGAGGGTGATTGCAAAGACTTGACTGATATACTGATGAGTATAATGACAATGGAAATATGGAAGGTTCCGAGCATAGAAACTGGATCAGAAGAGCCCACTCTACCTTGAGTGGGAAGTGCAGGGGTGAGGGGACAGGACTGGTGAAGGGTAAGAGAGACAGAAACTCCCAAGAGTTTGTCAAGGGGCTGACCCGAGAGGACTTTTGTCTGACTGAAGATGGTTCAGGAGAGTCCAAGGTGACATCCTCAGCAGTGAGGGCAGTTCACTTACAGAGGAGTAGTGTTGTGGGGTAGCTACCAGAGAAGACTGCTTGGACACAGATTTAAGCAAATAGAAAATCTTCATTAGCTGGGCGATGGTGGTGCACGCCTTTAATCCCAGCAGTCAGGCAGGCAGGAGGCAGAGGCAGGTGGATCTCTGTCAGTTCAAGGCCAACCTGCTCTACAAAGTTATTTCCAGCATGACCAGGGCTGTTACACAGAGAAACCTTGTGTTGAAAAGAGAGAGAGAGAGAGAGAGAGAGAGAGAGAGAGAGAGAGAGAGAGAGAGAGAGAGAGAGAGCGCGCGAGAGAGAGCGCAAGCAAGCCTTTACTAGCTGGCTGGCTGGCGACTGCACTAGGTGTTTGGGATCCCATTGTAGCACTGAGTGAAATTTCTCAGGATGAGCTTTTAAGCACAAAAACCATGTTTTAGGTTGACATATTTTAGTTAACAAAGCAGCTAAAGCATATCTAAAGAAGCCAGAAAGACTTTCCCAGAATTATGGGAGTTGATGGATTAGGTCCTTGTTTTCATTTTGGCAGGTGATACTATTTACGTGTTGAGTTTTACAGCCTGAATGGTATTTCCATCATGAATCAGTTGGACTAAAGTCTGGGGCCTACTCAGGTCTGAGGCCATTATGGTGTAGGTCCTGGTCCAATGGGTAGAGGTGTGTGGTGACGTGGGTTACTTAGTCTTCTTGGCCTTGGCAGCAGTGGGACCCTGACATTGCTGTGCCCTGTCCCAGGTTGCAGCGGGTCAACTGGAGTAGAGGCATGGAGGGAAACACGATCCTGCCTGAGGAATGGGGAGGAAGGAGCTGTCTTTAAGTACTAGTCACTTCCCTTTGCTATCAAGGAACTGAGGCATGGGGTTCTCAGTTGTGGCCATCCTGATCAGGGTTTATTTAGCTCTAACTGTGGGTTAGCTCTGCCTCTCCTGGTCACTACTACTCCTTTCATGGAAGTGACAAAGAGATAGTGGGTTTTGTTGTTTTTGTTGCTTTTTGCTTTTGAGACAGGGCCTCTCTGTGTAGTCCTGGCTGTTTTGGAATTCAATCTGTAGACCAGGCTGGCCTTGAATTCACAGAGATCCACCTGTGTCTGCCTCCCAAGTTCTGGGATTAATGCTTGTACACTGTAAAGATTTGTCACTTGTATTGGTTTAATAAAATGCTGACTGGCTGGTAGCAAGGCAGTAAGTATCAGTGAGACCACCAGACTAAGAGAATTATGGGAAGAGGAAGGCAGAGTCACAGAGTCACCAACCAGATGCAGAGGAAGCAGATGAGAATGCCATTCTAAGGAATGGTAACAAGCCACATGGCTAAACATAGATAAGAATTATGGGTTGATTTATGTATAAGAGGTAGCTAGAAATAAGCCTGAGCTACCGGTAAGCCAAGCATTTATAAGTACTATAAGCCTTTGTGCGGTAACTTGGGAAGCAGCTGCCGGGTATTTGGGAGTTGCTGTCAGGACAGAAACTTTTGCCTACTCTTAACTCTTCTACATAATAGTCCATCATCAAGGGAAGTCAGAGAAGGACCTGGAAGCAGGGATTGAAACAGAAGCCATGAGGAATGATGTTTACTGACTTGTTCCCCTGGCTGTCCTATCTATTGTCTTATCCCATCCCTGGTGTACCATCACCTGCCAGGGATGGTACCACACATGTGAGTGGGGCCCTTCTGCATCAACTGTTAAGAAATGCCCTACAGGCTTGGCGGTGGTGGTGCACACCTTTAATCCCACAGCACTTGGGAGGCAGAGGCAGGCAGATTTCTGTGATTTCAAGACCAGCCTGGCCTACAGAGCGAGTTCCAGGACGACCAGGGCTACAGAGAAACCTTGTCTCAAAAACTAAACAAAACAAAAGGTGGAGAGCAATAGTCCTTTATTGCACCCAATATCGACCGCTGGCCTATGTCACATGTCTTAGGTCACACACACACAGATCAACTGCTGTTGTTGACCTCGGCAGTCTGGGGCTTCGTTGTAGAAATATAGGCAATACAAAGATACCACTGCTGTCCCTTGTTGTTCTTGCTTATGCCTTGGATACCTTTCCTGCTGACGGACTTCTGTGGATACATGTATGGGCTGAAGTGACCTCTACTGCTATTCCCTGAGCCTTTCCAACCCTTAGGGAACCCCTAGACTAGTGTCCACCTGTCCACATCTATCAGATGACAAATATTAAAGTCACCTTTGTCTCTCTCCTTAGGATGTTCTAGAGTCAAAGAATACCACCATCAAGGATTTACAGTATGAGCTGGCCCGGGTCTGCAAGGTATGGCTCACCCCCCCCAGCCCCACCTTCCCCCTCGGGGCTATCTCCTCCCATTGAGCTACGCCCAAGTATCTAGCTTCAGCTTGTTAACGTCATAGGGGAAGGGCTCTAAGGACCTCTCTCATCTCTTCTACACACTTCATTCAGGAGGTGGGTGTGCTAATCCCCAAGTGGTGTGCCCTCATAGCCTTAGGGCCTGAGAGTGACCTTGTCCTGGCGTTGCTTATAGTCTTGCCAAGCACACACTTAGGACTCTGTCTCCTACCGTGTTCAGATCTGTTTTTCCCTCACCCTCCTTTGCTCACCTGACCTCTGAGTCGGTTGGGAAGTCTCTGCTCTCCAGAGAGTGCCCGCTGCAGTTCAGCTCTCAGCCTTTCAGACTCCTTCAGAGTCTAGAACAGCTCCACACCCTTCTGTGCTAGTGTGTATGCACAGACTCCAGATGGTCCCTAAGTGGACTGTCCTGCCGTGCTTTGTCCACTGTCTTGCCAAGGATTTAACAAGAGCAGCCACCCCACAAGTGGCTTAATTCTATGGGGAAGGCATGGTATCCCTGTTCAGTTGTTTAGGGCCTTATGAGGACATTCACGTCATCTGATTTTAGTTTTTAAACATATTTGTTTGGCTGGACAGTGGTGGTGCACGCCTTTTCCCCTGCACTCTGGAGGCAGAGGCAGGCAGATATCTGAGTTCCAGGACAGTCACGGCTACACAGAGAAACCCTGTCTCAAAACAAACAAACAACAACAACAACAAAAAAAAAAAAACAAAACATAAGACATACAATCAAACAAACAATTAACCCTCTGCATAGATAGTAGTAATAGAAGTGTTTGTTACTGCTTCCCAGCCCTCCCTAGAGGCCAGGCTAGAGCTTTCCTTCTCACACCTGTCCCCCAGCTGAGCACAGTCAGGGCTGTCTTCTGTGTGTGTGCTGCTCTCGGGAGCTGGGGAGATCCTTGACTTTTGTCTGACCTGGTGTCTGAACCTGGGGTGTCTGGTAACCAGCGCTCAGCCTCAAGTTCTCTCTGGAACCCATCCTTCTTTACATTTTTCTCTGTATTCCAGGGATTAGTCTCTTTACTAAACTGCAGTAAGGATAATGAACCTTTTTGTTTTTGTTTGAGACACAGCCCCACTATATAACCCTGGCTGGCCTGGAACTCACAGAGATCTGAGTGCAGAGATTAAAGGTGTGCACTGAATCCTAGCTAGTGACCCTTTTGATCATTTGCTGTGAGGTTCACAGCCTCCAAGCAGTCTCATTTCATTCTGTTCATCAACACCTATAATCCTAGCACTTAGGGGTGCTGAGGCAGGAGGAACATGAAAAAGGCTACAAAGTGAGTCCCTGTCTCAGACAAATGAATAAAACATAGTCAAGTCTTTACAACCACCTAGTGAAATCTTCCCAATTAAAAAAAAGTGTGCATTTTAGCCAGGCCATGGTAGTATACACCTTTATCACAGCACTTGGGAGGCAGAGGCAGGTGCAGAGCTCTGAGTTTGAAGCCATTCTGGTCTACAGAGCAAGTTCCAGACAGCCAGGGCTACAGAGAGAAACCCTGTCTGGAAAAACAAAACAAAACAAAAAAAAAAAAAAAAGAAAACCAAACAAACAAAAAGTGGCTTTTGGAGTTTGGAAAGATGGTTGAGTGGTTAAGGACACTGGAGTCTAGTTCTCAGCATCCGCGTGGTTAGCTCACAGCTGCCTGTAACTTCCGCTCCAAGGAATCTAACTTTCTCTTCTGGCCTTTTTGGGCATCTGCACATAGGTGTACCTTCCCATACGTATCCCCCCCCCCACATATATATAGTAATAAAAGTACTAGACATGCTTTTTTTGAGCTGGGTGTGGTGGCACACCTTTTAATGCCCAACTCCTGGTGGCACTCGGGAGGCAGAGACAGGTGGATCTTGGTAAATTATAGGCCAGCCTGGTCTATATAGCAAATTCCAGGACATTAATGGAGACCCTGTGTAAAGAGTCAAAAAAAAATTACAAGTCATGTTGGTATATAAAAAAATTTCATACAATATATTCTGATCTTTTTCCTTTCTTTCCCCAACTACTCCCAAACCCCTTGCGTCCTACCCACTCAACTTTATACTTTCTCTCTTTCAAATACAAAAGCAATATGTAAAACACATAAAAATGAAAAAAAAGACCAATAAGACAAACAAATGCCAAAACAAAACAAACACAAGAAAAAGTACACACACACACACACACACACACACACAGATGGAGTTCATTTTGTGTCGGCCAGCTACTCCTGGTCAAGGGACCTGCCCGAGAATGTGGTTTCTGCATGAAGAAAACTGACTTTCCCTTGAAGCAGTGAGATTTTTGAGTGCTAAACTGTTCTAGGAGAAATGTCAAGTTCTAGCCAGCCTGGGCTATATGGTGGAGTCTTTTCCTAGACATAAATAAAAATGAAATTCCAAATATCAGAACCTGATTAGCAGGGAACCCCCTCTTCACGAGGAAGTCGCTTGTCTTTGTTGGCCCCAACAGCACCATGTCTGAGGTCCAGGGCTATATGTAGCCTCTTCAGCGTCACTGGGGAGGTGGAGGGTATTGAGGTCTCTGGAGGCACGGAACAGATGCCATTCCACCTTGGCAGGAAAGGGACTGAGACCCTCACTGGGAATTACTTGCTAAAGAGCCAGGAGTCTGCCCACTCTCAGTTCTGAGTCCTTACTGTAAGGGATTTGAGTTAATGTCATGAAGTCATCAGCATTGCTAGCACACAAGAACCTTGGACAAATGCTTGTCCCAGGTCTCCTACCCCAGCTTTCATGGGGTGGAGGCCACCTCTGGGTGGGCCATAGCATGTGGACTCCTTTCCTCCCTGACATTTCTCTCTCCTTTCAGGCCCACAATGACCTACTGCGTACATATGAGGCAAAGTTACTGGCCTTCGGGATCCCTCTGGACAATGTGGGATTCAAGCCCCTGGAGACAGCAGTGATTGGACAGACACTGGGACAGGGCCCTGCAGGGCTTGTGGGTGCCCCTACATAGCTACCTTCTGGGAGCTTCCGCCTTTAGAGTTGGCCTGCCTCACTTTCTAAAAGATAACTATTCTACTCCAAGAACAGACTTCATCAGCAATGAAAGTTTTCCCGTATTTCCTTTGTATTCTCTGTCTTTGTTGGGAAGAAGTGCCTGCAAGGCTTCTAAGGTCTCTTTGTCTACCTGCTTCCATGTACTGCCCGGTTTGTGTCGTATTTGCCCCTTTGAGTCCTACCTCCAACCTCTGCTTACTAACATCTCCGGCAAGAGGGCAACTCAGTGTCCTGTGTTGAGCATGAAGCCCCTGCTCTTGATTTGGCTGGGCAGCTCAACCACAGAGGACTGGCAGGCTTCCTTTTTGGGCCAGGCTCTGCACAACCTCTCCTCTCCGTGACTTTTCTTACGCAGCTCAGGACCACTTTGCCTAGGGGTGGCACTGCCCGCAGTGGGCTGGGTACTCCACACCAATTATTAATCAAGAAAATGGCACACAGACTTCACCACAGGCATCTGATGGTGGCATCTCCTCATTCCAAGTGACTAGCTTGTGTCAAATTGATAAGAACTAACCAGTGCCATCTCCTTTGTGATGGTGAAAACCTAAGAGAAACCCAGAAGGTGCTGGGAGACAGTGAGTTACCTCAGTCCAGGAGCTGCTTGGTCCTGGTCTCCCTGGGAGAATTCAGCTGCATATTGCAGCTGGGTTAACTGGGGTTTGGGAGACAATCTGAACCTTCCTCTTTGGACAGCTCCATGGAATCTAGAGCTCCTGACTCTAGACATGAAGACGATCACAGGCTTCAGACGCGGTAGCTAGTGAAGGGATGGAGGAAGGTAAGAGGAAGGAGAGGCTGCATTGTGAGCTGAGGGGCGCTCAGTTGAGAGCCTGTGTACAGAGAGATGAGTCACCCTTGGGCTGGCCTCTTACTTCCCTGACTATACTGGAGGAAGGGAAGAGGAAGGGAAAAAGAAAAAACAGGAAGTGGTACTGGGCTGTAAAATTGCAAACCTTGCTCCTAGTGATATACTTCTTCCAGCAAAGACGTCACTTCCTTAACCTTCCCAAACAGTACCCCCAGACTGGGGCGAGGTGTTCAAACACGTCAGCATTTTCATCCCGACCATCATACAACACAGACCTCTGTATACAGTTTCGGAAGCTACAGATGATTGTAAGCGACCATGTGGATGCGAAGAGCTGAATCTGGTCCCCTGCAAGGCAACACGTTATTTTTCTTTTGTTTTTGCTTTTTTGAGATATGGTTTTTTTGGGAAGCCCTGGCTGTCCTAGAAGTCTATCTGTAGACCAGGGTGGCCGAGAACTTAAGATATCCGCCTGCCACTGCTTTTGAGTCGGGACTGAAGTTATGTACCACCAACTCAACGCCTAATTACTGAGCCAAATCTGCAGGCCTGCAGCACTTTTTTTATGAAGAGCTACCTCTATCTTCAGGCACAGCAATGAATCTAGAGATTCCTGCCATTCTTTCTGAGAGACTTGTGGGAGAACAGACATGTTGCAGGAAATGCTTCCTCAATGGGCTGTCACCTGCTTTGCTCTAAGGCAGATTTGTCTCTAAGAATGAGGCCAAGAACAGGTAGACGACTTGGGTAGGAGGATATGCATTTCTCTTTGGAGGAGGCTCTGGTACTGGTGGGCCTTTCTTGCTTATGGCGACCTTTCCAATGAAATAGATAATCTATGCAAAGAGTGTCTCTTCAATGAATGGTTGAGCTGGCTCCTCCCTTGCCCGCCCTCGGCCTTCCTCAGTGTAATCTTTGAAAGGGCCTCAGGGACTGCTAACCCACAGGTCAGCTTTGGACACCTACACTCCCTCCACCTGGGGACTGTTGCCAGGTAGCCAGCCAGCTCCTTGCCTCTGTCCTCCTGCGGGCCACTTGTGTTCCCCTCTGGTGGAGGCGTGGTTGTTGGGTCCTGGAGATGAGCAGCGCCCGGAAAGGGGTGAGACTGGGGTGGGGTGGCATGGGGAGTTCGCGGGGGAGGTGCCCAGATAGGCTCAGGCAAAGCGGTCGGATCGCTTGGGGTCATCCTTCCAGACAGGGGTAGACAGGGGTAGACACTGTCTGCTGGTGCCCTACCTACGGTGGTGCTTCGACGGGTCTGG